AATGTTTACTATATTATTATAATTTTTACTTTAATACTAATTTACGTTTGCACATATTTACACACAGAACCAGAAATATAACTTTTGAAACAATTAACAAATAATTTTATTGTTTTGTACAGGAATCGAACTTGCAACATTACACAGTAAATTATCATCCTTCGCACTAATTAAAATCGTCTAGTAAAAAAAAAACAACTTCGTGTTAGGCCCATAGGCCTCTATGTTGACAGCTTAATAAAAAAAGCAAATAAAAATGGCGGATGATCTAAGAAAGAAAATACAAAGCTGACGTACAGTGACGTAATAACAAAGTAAATGATAATCACTGTACGATACTTCGCTTATTATTTGTTTACTTCATTATTTTTTTAAACTGCAAAGTACAAAGTTAGTACTGGGCAAAATATTACTAAGTTTTAAAAAAATTCTCAGTATCAGCACGTAGTCTGGAATTGTGCCCGGTATATGGTAATAGGCTCACCCCCTATTACATGGGACTCGTAACAAAAATAGTGAAAAGTGGGTGTTACATTGTACAGTGGCATTAAGTGCCGTAATGTGCACCTCCGCCTACCCCTGGCTCCGTGCTCCGTGCGGCGATCGAACCCGACACCCATTGCGGCAGTCGCAATTTTTTTTATGGCATGTAAACGAGCAGACGGATCACCTGATGGTAAGCAATCGGCGTCGCCCATGGACACCTGGAACACCAGAGGCGTTACAAGTGCGTTACCGGCATTTTGGGGATTTGGAGTTTGAGGATCGTCGGGGATTCAGGGATTGAGGAGATTGGGGAAGGGGAGGGTAATTGGACCTCCGGTAACCTCACTCACACGACGAAACACAACGCAAGCGTTGCTTCACGTCGGTTTTCTGCTCGGCCGCGGTATCACTCCGGTCGAGCCGGCCCATTCGAGCCGAAGCATGGCTCTCCCACACTTAATTGCACTTGCGAACACTCGACCAACGAGGCAGTACTTAAATAAGAATGATGTAATGACGTAGGTAATGTCACCAAAGTTGACACATTCGTTATAATGGACGAACAAACATGTGCTGTGTCAACATGAGCGGCTCATGTACTGGGTGACGAGTTCCGGAGACACGAGACCGGAGACACGTGAACACAAGGTCACTGGAGATGGATAGAGATGGAGACGAAGAGGGAGAAGAAAGTAGTTAATCTTCCTTTATATTAAGACTAGTCATTCTGTCTTCTACATTGGATTCCCTGAGGGAACTGGAAACTTTCAGTTTTCTTCTCGACGTATTTCGTTGCTCGAGACAAGACAGTTCAAAATCAAAATCATTTATTTTTCCGAACTTTTACAATTTTTACCTATACGGTCGAATTGAGAAACTCCTGTTTTTTTTGAAGTCGGTAAAAAAGAGGTATATTATTTGTAAAATATAAAAATAACAATAATATTCAGCCGTCAATCCTCAAAATAACAATAATCAAAAACAGTCCATTAGACCCTCATATTATGTATGGTTTCATGTCCCTGGGACGTTGGACTTCAGTGTTCCGGTGTGCGCATAGTTGTATCTACTGTAGATCCTGGTGTACAGGAGTTGAGGCGGACTTGTCCCAACTCAAGACATGAAAATGATCACGTGCCGGCCAAGTTCATTGTTAACATGTATACTGTATAATGTGTCAATTCTTTTTGTTGTCTGATAATTATAATAGGTGTGATGTGTGTCATCGTCAAAGCATCTTCACACATGGAGAAGGTTTGGCGATTTCAAACTTATAATTAGAAATTATAAGCCCAGGTTTCCTCACGATGTTTTCCTTCACCGTTTTTCAGTGGTGTCTAGATAATCTTAGAAAGAACATATAACTCGGAAAAAGTCACATTGGTACTTGCCGTTTAAGTAGGTTTCGAATCTACACCCTCATGCATGAGAAGCGGGCGTCTTAACCTTCCACCACGATAACGACATTATACTTACTTTAGTTCGGTGTAATTTGCAATTCCGTGTGACTGTAGACCTCATGAAACACAGATTTCAGAAATAAACCCAGGTGTCTGTCAGTAGCCACACGAAAATCATCCAACGACTGCTCCCACCCTGACGGAGGCTAGAGAGAGTGTCAGACACTTACTGACAAACCCACCCCGGTGTCCCGTCTCACACGTCTCTCTAGTTATGAGGGTGCGGAAACCAAATTCTTCCGCTTCCGAACTCGTGGCGGCCTGCATTGCCAGGTCCCACCTCAAGGTGCACAGAGGAGTGAGATGTTGATCTCCTCCGTGCAACACCTCGGAAGCGCGCGTGTCCTTTAAAACGGGGACTTGCTCAAGTCCACCGTCCCCGGACCCATTTAGGGGGTCGAAAGAGCGATTTCTGCTCTCCTTCGACGCCCGGAGCGCCTACTGTGGGAATGTACAGGACTTATATTTCCCCATCATCATCTGCTGTAGAATACAAGCCAGTTGACACGATAAAAAGTTCGCAGAGATTTAACAAATGGCGTCGGGTACCTAACTATATGTTTACCTTGTCTAGTTAAGTGCTTGAGTTCAAAATTCGTGTAAAAAGCTGTTAATGTGTTTCTGTGTTGGGTTTGATGCGCGCAAATATTGTTTGAGTACTTTATTATTATTTATACCTACATGTTACGCTATATATTGTTTACTTGTTAATGAAGTCAGTCACACGTGATCTGTGACACTGTGTCTACCACGTGTCTTGTCCTTCTTCATATTTTACGGGATAACCCGAGCTGACGGATCACCTGATGGTAAGCAATCGGCGGCGTCGCCCTTGGACACCTGGAACATCAGAGGTGTTACAAGTGCGTTACCGGTTTTTGGGGATTAAAAGTTTGAGGATCGTTGAGGATTCAGGGATTAGGGAGATTGGGGAAGGGGAGGTGGGTAATTGGAATTACATTTCTTTTTGTTTTCGAATATTGTACAGTATGTACTCTTGTTCATTTATATCTAGCTAGACCTGTGTCTAGATTATTTTATAAACGGCCTAAATTAATATAATACAGTCAATGATCTGACTGGTGTTGCAGGTGTCCATGGGCGGCGCTGATCGCTTACCATCAGGTGATCAGACTGCTCGTTTGCCTCCTATTCGATAAAAACGTCAATGGATCGTAATTCGAAATAGATGCGTGGGCGACGTGCCTAGGTCATACGCGGTACTTTGTTTAACTACCTAGTACCTGGGGGCTAGGAGTGCGTTCAACCGGTCAGCTGTGTGATTGTTCAATATTTGTGTTTGAATACAAATAATAATTAAACGTTTAGAAATATTTAATGTTTCTTCATACGGATCACCTGATGGTAAGCAACCGGCGTCGCCCATGGACACCTGGAACACCAGAGGCGTTACAAGTGCCTTACCGGCCTTTTGGGGATTAGGAGTTTGAGGATCGTTGGGGTATAAGAATTGGGGAGATTGGGGAAGGGGAGGGTAATTGGGCCTCCGGTAACCTCACTCACACGACGAAACACAACGTAAGCGTTGCTTCACGTCGGTCAGTCTGCTCGGCCGTGATATCACTCTGGTCGAGCCGGTCCAGCAGTGCCGAAGCATGGCTCTCCCACACTTATCAAAATAATTATTTACAACAATTTCAAATTTAAAACCGACTTCAAAACCAGGCGACGACAAGAAAAAAAGCAGCTTTTCTTTTTCTATGTGTGTATGGCTGAACAGATTGTGATGCGGTTTTTAGAAAAGTATTTGTTACACTTAGGCGAAGGTTTTAGCTTAGGTAGGTACCTATTAATTCACCGACTTCAAAAGGGCCCCCCCCGCAGGGGGTCAGGCTGATGTCGGTTTTTTAAAACGTAATTAGCTTATAAAAGAACACACACTTAACATAACACCAAATATGACACACAGATTTAACTAGCATTTATGGGTCATACAAAGGGTTTTTCCGTGAGGGTATTGAACCTGCGACGCGTTACATAGCCACTGAACCAAACGTGCAGCTTTTTTTAAGGAGGGAAAAGTTATCCAATGCCTTCTCCCGCCTGGGTGAGGCGGAAGGGAGTGTCAGACTCTTACTGAGTAAAAACCACCCCGTTCCTTCTCCTGCACGTCGAGCCGGAGCCCCGGTTACCCGTTAGGTTCTCCGCTGCTATGTATCGGCATCAGCCTAGGTACCACCACCCGGTGTAAGGTAAAAGGTTCTCCTCCTCACAAGAGTCCATGGCAGTCCATAGAGGAACTATGAGCTTGCTCTAAGAGGAGTAAGCTGATTGAAGAAGAGTAAGCTATGAATCGTTTCAAAAGTACCAAATTATGGTTTAATTGAAATAAATGCTTTGACTTTGACTTTGACTTTGGAGTTTCTTGCTCGTTCTTCGCCATAGGAGTCTACTACGTCATAGCGAATAGCTTCACTTTTAATTTTTTTGTTAAAGTTCAAATTAAATGATTTTGACGTTGACTTTATTTGGAGCCTCCAACCTACCAGAATTTGGATGTCCACATATTTGGAGCTCTCTATTATCTGTAACATTTGCAATTATTCCTTCGTTACTGACACAGTACATACAAGATACATAATATACACATCGATCTAAACCTCGAGCACAAGGCCAGCACACAGACAAACAGACAAACAGACATAATATTCCGTAATTGTGGAAACTTAGTCTCCATTATAACGCAGCTACGTCTGACCAAACAAACATCAACTCATGTGTTAGTTCGTCACACAGTATACACCTCTGTAATTGTTTAGTCTTGTTACAATAATTGTTACCTTCGAGCGAGGAATTCCGCAGTATTCTCTTGTATATATATGTATAAGAAATTAACATGTTCTGTAAATTATTGTATGAAATGTTGTAGTTTAGAGTGAAGTGACGTCAACTTTATTTCCGGTCTCGAAACGTTGTTAGTAAGTGAGATACAGTAATATCACACATTATTTAGGCAGAAATTAATACCACGGGTTCGATTCCCACGTCGGGCACAGTATTACTGGGTTTTAAAAAAAATTCTCAGTAGTAGCACGGAGTCTGGAATTGTGCCCGGTATATGGCAATAAGCTCACCCCCTATTACATGGGACTCATAACATAAATAGTGAAAAGTGGGTGTTACATTGTACAGTGGCATTAAGTGCCGTAATGTACACCTCTGCCTACCCCTTCGGGAATAAAAGGCGAGATGATGTGATGTATTTCTTAGTAAAACTATTGTATTTCCGAGACATAACCATTTTACTTCGGAACGAAAACGAAATAGAGTTCACAGCGTATTATACCTATATTGACTAGCAACGCTTGAAGGCTGAGTCTCAGGCACTCACAGCTCAAAGTCATAGTCAAGAGCCGATGGTGTATGACCGTCGTCGGTGGATTCAAGTGTCTAGCAAATAATGTGGTATTTTACCTGCGGTGTGGGTCTTGTTTAACAATAATACGTTTACCTAGTACTTTGAGAGTTCACTATTCTGACAATATTATTAGAGGTATTGGGTTTTACCAGACGTCATCATCAAAACAGTCCACTGCTAGACTTGTTTTGTGGTATAAGCCGGTAAACGAGCGCACGGATCACCTGATGGTAAGCAATCGGCGTCGCCCATGGACACCCGGGACTCAAGACTGTTGCCGGCCTTTTGGGGATTAGGAATTTGAGGGATGTCGGGGAATCAGGGATTGGGCCGCCTGCCTGATATCCGCTCGTTTGCCTCCTATTCCATAAAAAAGGAAGTACACCCGCTTCTCGGGTTCGATTCCCACACGGAACAATTCTTTGCGTGATCCACAAATTGTTGTTTGGAAACGTACACACGACACAGGAGGAAATCCTAGCGCGAGGCAACGGGAACATTAAACGATATTGTGTGCCCAAGGGCCCCAGCGTAGTCTAAGACGGCCCTGGGTATAGGACACCCACGGGAAGAGTAGGGGTGGTGTCAAATGTATTCTACTTAATTTTAATGTGTATTTTTTTATTTCGCAGCAACAATGGTGCCTCGCCCGGTGTCGCCAAGCCCCGCGGAGCCGCTGATACCGCGGTTCTACGCGGGGAGGTCCATCCTCATCACCGGAGCTACTGGCTTCATGGGGAAGGTATGATCATCATCATCCATTGTTCATAATCATAAATAAGTTTGGAAAAGCTATCTAGCACAAATGTGCCACATGTCAGTTCACCACGACCTCACAGTACAGGTACACCGACGTAAAGCAACGCTTGCATTGTGTTTCGCTACGTCAATAAGTAGTCGGCTAAGCTGCCCCCCAAAACACCAAGTATGTAACTCCTCTGCTCTTCTCTATTCGAGAGAACGAAGTGAACTCGACCCCGCTCCGTCAGGTCATTGGTTGTGACAATCTCGACCAATGAATGGCGAGAATGCGAACGAGCTCACTTTATACAATAGTATAAACTATTGTATATTATTTTTATGTAATTATAGGTTAGTTTTAGTTATTATTATGTAAGGTAGGTAATTTAATAGGTTAAGATATAATGTTTATATTTTGTAAGGCCTACTTTATTATCTTTGTGTTTAATTTTTTTTTGTATTCGTTGTATTACTTCTTTTTAGTTCTTCATATAAATATGTTTTTTAACTAGATTAAGCCTCACTGTCGAATTGGGAAAACACTGTAATGAGAGTGTAGGAAGATTTTTATAATAAATAAAGAAATAAATTTATAATTTCGAATTATCAGTACCTAAACACAATAGCCTAGGTGGTGTGGCTCCCCGTGAGTAGCGGCCACGATTGCTTGCTATCAGGTGATAATTCACTTCGTTTGTCGTCCTATGTCATGAAAAATATCTTCAAGGCGGAGATCACCACCTTGAGATGAAGCTGACTTACAATAATAATCTTATACTACATATCTCCTAAATAAGTCGCGGAGAACCTAACGGGTTATCGTGGCTCCGGCTCGAAGTGCAGGTAAAGGAACGGGGTGGTTTTTAATCAGTAAGAGTCTGACACTCCCTCCCGCCTCACCCAGGCGGGAGAAGCCATTCGATGATTTTCCGCCCTAAAAAAATACTACTAAATAAAGCTGAAGAGTTTTTTTGTTTGTTCGTTTGTTTGAACGCGCTAATCTCAGAAACTACTGGTCCGATTCGAAAAATTATTTTAGTGTTGAATAGTCCATTTATCATGGAAAGCTATAGGCTACTAAAAATCACGCTACGATCAATAGGAGCCGAGTAGAGTGCGTGCAACCGCGCGGAAGTAGCTAGTTAGAAATATGTTACCCTATATTTATTACCGTAGTAATTGGCGTTCCATAGTCTCTGCCTACCCTCATGGGAGACAGGCGTAAAGTTATGTATATATGTATGTATATTTGTTACCTTAATACTTTCTGTCTCCATCCAGGTGCTGGTAGAGCGCATACTATCTACATGCCCCGAAGTCGGTCGCCTGCACCTGCTCATGCGCGACAAGAAGGGACACTCGCCCCAGAAGAGACTCGCTCAGCTCAAGCAGTCACAGGTGAGTGGCGTGATGATATGTATACGGAAAGCTCATAAACCTATACTACGCTGTAATGAGGGATTTTGAACTTTATTGTCAGAAGATGAGGGTTGAAAATGTGTTCGAAGTTTTTTAAATCAGGTAGTTTGATGTGCTTGTGACATTTGAGAAATCATAACATAACAAAACATCTATCATGCCTTTCTTCTCCGAAGGGGTAGGCAGAAGTGCACATTATGGCACTCAATGCCACTGCAATGTAACACCCACATTCCACTATTTATGTTATGAGTTCCATGTAATAGGGGGTGAGCCTATTGCCATATACCGGGCACAATTCCAGACTCCGTGCTACTACTGAGAATTTTTTAAAAACCCAATATTACTTTGCCCGATCCGGGATCGAACCTGAGACCCCGGCAGTCGCACTTGGCCAACGAGGCAGTCGAGGATTATTAGCTTTCTTGAGTTCGAGAAATCAAGAAAGCTAATATCTCCGGGCATAATAACCCTAGACCTTGAATCCACACCTCACTAAAGAGCCATACTTTGGATGATTTCAAAATGTAAGTATTGCATGTATTTTGGAAGTCAAAGCTTCGACTTCGTTGTCGTAAAGACATCGAAGTATGTGTTTAGTTATTGCCTCGTTGACCGAGTGGTCGCAAGTGCGACTGCCGGGCAAGGGGTCTCGGGTTCGATTCCCGGGTCGCATAAAGTATTACTCGGTTTTAAAAGAAATCTCAATAGTAGCACGGAGTCTACAATTGTGCCCGGTATATGCTAATAGGCTCACCCCCTATAACATAAATAGTGAAAAGTGGGTGTTACATTGTATAGTGGCATTAAGAGCCGTAAACGGTAATGTGCCTCTGCCTACCCTTTCAGGGATAAAAAGGCGTGATGTTATGTTATGTGTTTAGTTATTTAGTTATAGTATTGTGTTTATTTAACACCGACTCTATAACCACGGGTGATCTAAGTTACAAATATTTATGTGCACCTCTGCCTACCCCTTACACGATGTAATATTCCGCAGGTGTTCGACAACGTGCGCGCACGCAACCACCGCCAGCTGGACAAGTTGTGCGTGGTGTCGGGAGACGTGTCCAAGCCACAGCTCGGGATGGATGCTGACGCCATCGCACAGCTCAGAGAGGTACGGAGCTAGTGAACTATATTTTGAATGGCATATAAACCTTTAAACGAACAGAAGGATCACACCCACAACACTAGAGGCGTTACAAGTGCGTTACCGGCTGATTGCGGATTAGGATTTTGACGATTGTTTCGTGTGTCTATTGGCGACGCCAGTTGCTTACCATCAGGTGATCCGACAGCTCATTTACCGGCTTATGCCGTAAAAAAACGTCTTTATCTTCACGCTGTACGGACTCACGGCGCGATTGTCTAGCGGCATGAGTCCGTCGGCTCATTCATACCATCACTGGGAAGTTTCGTAACACAGCGATTAAGAAGTCGATCACCCGGCCGCGGGCCGCGGGTCGCGGGTCGCAGGTCGCGGGTCGTCAGCTGCGTACTTCACCTTGATATTTTATGCAACATGACATGAAATAAATGCAATACCAGAGTACATACAACATATACTACATTTTAAGTGTGGGAGAGCCATGCTTCGGCAAGAATGGGCACGGCCTCACAGAAAACCGATGTGAAACACCGCGTGCGTTGAGTTTCGTCGTGTGAGTGAGGTTACTGGAGGCCTAATTACCCCCTTCCCGTCCTCAATCTCCCCAATCCCTGAATCAACAATCCTCAGATTCCTAATCCCCAAAAAGTCCATAATTGCTACGACGCCGATTGCTTACTATCAGGTTATCCGTCTGATCGTTTACCGGCTAATGCCATAAAAAAAGTAAATAAAATAGGTACAAGAGTACATACACCACACATCCATACTAAGTAATATGTTTAATGTTTAGTTTTAAACGAAATAATAGCGTCTATAGTTTAGATGATACAAAATCCGATCCAGTGGGAATATAGGATATAGGAATGAAAAATGCTCTATTATTATTTAAAACGTTTTTTTTTTGTCATTAGAAAGACATCGTTACTATTAAAATAAGAAATGTGTTGTTTCTTTGTTTCTCCAGAACTACCTACTAACTGTCTGGAGTCAGTACGAGGCTGTAGATAGATAGAGAGATATAGTTACATATAGGCTTTCCTTTGAGCAAGCGGGCGAGCGAGGCCACAAACAACAGCTAGTTTTATAATTTGGCCCTTTGGGTGCTCCATGGTGTCTCAAACTGCCCACATTATGGAGAATGTAAGACCCTGGCCGCGATAGCCCCCGTGAATTAAATATTATGGCAGTACACGCTATGCCCTTAGCCTACTAAGGCCCTTCGAATTCTGCTATGAAATTAAAAAGCAATGATGTTATCTGTGGCATGTCGAAATGCCCGCCATCTTGTTCGGAGATTTGTTTCTTATTTTTTGTTCACAAAAGATTATTTAGATTAAGGTATTTTGTTTTGTAAAAAAGTATGTAAAGTACATTAACATTGATTTGACTGCCTCGTTGGCCGAGTAGCTGCAAGTGCGACTGCCGAGCAAGGGGTCTCGGGTTCGATTAACGGGTTGGGCAAATTATTACTGGGTTTTAAAAAAAAATCTCAGTAGTAGCACAGAGTCTGGAATTGTGTCCGGCGTATGGCCACAGACTCACCCCCTATTACATGGGATTCACAACATAAATAGTGAAAAGTGGGTGTTACATTGTTCAGTGGCATTAAGTGCCGTATTGTGCACCCCTGCCTACCCCTTCAGTAATAAAAGGCGTGATGTTATGTTATATAAACATTGCCTTACTTCACTTGTTCTTTGTAGAACGCAAAGCAGCGATTTTTCAAATAGTAATAGTAAGTACACAGATATCTAGACTTGCAAGAAATGACACTTATCGAGTTATAAGATTTTTCTTCATAAAAAAAGCTGTGTATCCTGTCAACATCTCATTATGAACACGTTCTGAAACATGTGACTTGACTATCCTATTTATGCTTTTTAAAACGTGAGGATAGTCGCACTTAGCCGCTAATTCAAGAGAAACTTGAGTAGCAAAAACGTACATAACATTTATCAATTTTAGTTGAAGTAGGCAAATACTATATAATAGTGGTCGCTAGCAGTGTATACTAATATTAATATTACAAAAACGCGGTAATTTAGGTACTGATCCAAAGGAGATCGGCAAATCTCGGCCGCGACAGACAAAAATGACATACTGTGAGTTTTCAAGGACTAATATATTATTAGTATTCTGTCATGTGTAATTAAGTTAAATATTTCAGTTTGTTGTCAAGAACTCCTCTCATGTTGGATAGTCTATTATCGAGAAACGCTAAATGCTATAAAAACTTCATGCTGCATTCAATTGAAGTCGAACAGCCTCGATGGAGTAGGTACTATTTATAAAATAAATAAATATTAAATTCTCCACGCATGTATTCCGTGTAATATAATTTCGTAATACAATCTGCGTTCGGTGGCGAATGCGTTGCAATTACAAATAATTGTGATGATTGGCAGCTCCGTATACTTCGCTCAGAGTTACGACATTATTTGGGTTGCGACATCTAGTGGTTTTGTATCTTTGTATTCTAAATTACTGATATTATAAAGGAGAACGAGTTGATTGTTTATTGGACCAATTTAAAATCACCATTAATGAAGCACCTTTACCATAGACGTGAAACAACGCTTGCGTTGTGTTTCGTCGTGTGAGTGAGGGTACTGGAGGCTCATTCCCCCCCCCCTCCCCTTCCTTAATCTCTCCAATTCCTGAATCCCCAACAATCCTTAATTTCCTAATCCACAAAAGGCCGGTAACGAACTTGTAAGGCCTCTGGTATTTCAGGTGTCCATGGCGACGCCGATTGCTTACCATTAGATGATCCGTCTGCACGTTTGTTTACCGGCTTATCCCATTCTAGCCATTGCCGCAGCAGAACGCAAAAGTTGGCAAGTTACACTCACTCGCCTCACCTAAGACAGGAGGAGCCATTTTATGATATTCGTCCTTAATTGACATTGGTTAATGTCATCCTGATACTACTAAAGGATCGTCAACTACTCGAGAAAAATCGTCTAAAAGAAACGCAGACGAAACAGTGTATGATAAAATTGTTCTCTGATAGTACCTCCTTATATTTGCGACACATGATGCAGGTAGTACAATGTTTGTGTAGGTCGCGGGCCAGTGCGTGGCCATCAGATCTGGTTGGAAGTAATAGGCCTGTGATGAAAATTGCTCAAGTAGCCACATAGGTGTAATGTATTGTTGTAAAATAAAGTTGTACATATTGCATCAGCAACATGGTGAGTAAGCGCTCCATCGGTTAATTATTAAACTTTTATTTGTACTTAGGGTATTTGAACTTCAAGGACAAAGTTAAAAACTCTCAATAGCACTGATTGAATGTCATTTAATTCCTAAACAAACATGACTATAGGTTTGACTTGATCGATCATTTTGAGTTAACCGACATGCCATATTCATTTGTGCACCAATATTAATAATTATTGGGTTTTTAGTCAAGATATTCCCAGCGCTACAAGTGAACAAGCGATGTTTAGTTCGAAACAGGGGTAGCAGGGGTTGCATATGCACGAATCGTTGAACCTGGCTATGTCTTCACTTTGCAGGGATTTTATAATTATGTATGTACATTCATATACGTACCTACTAAAGACAAAGATTGCGTTATTATAATTTTTAAACAAAATCCTAAGACAAACTCGATATCCAGCGGGCGTTTTCCCTGCGGTCGCAGGCGCCGAGTGCATGCGAATATCGCCTAATGATGATCGAGTGTACACTTTGTCGGTTTTTATATATTGATTGTTTGATTACATCCCAGGTGTCCATAGTGTTCCACTCAGCCGCGACGCTGAAATTTGACGAGCCGCTGCCGGTCGCCATCGACCAGAATGTGCGCTCCGTGGAGCGACTGCTTGACATCTGCGACAAACTACCCAACATGGAGGTAAGAACATCCTGCTAATCAAGATCTAACTATTTCTCCTTTAGTAAAAGAAGTTGGTTAAAGGCAATCTACACAAATCCGAATTAATTTACACAGATGTATAAATTGACTAGATGTGACATTATTATCATTGTTTACTTACAGAAGACGACCGTAGCCTAAAGTGTTGTATGCCATTTTGGTTTGAAAGTTAGAGAACACCCTTGCTAGTTTCCGATTATCACAATATTTTGTGAAATGAGTTTATTTGTGCGAACAGCTAAGGAATGAAATTCCTTAATGGAATGTGAGTTTCCCGACAAACTATACAACTTGGGTGTCTTCAAGTCCCGAGTGAACAGATTGCTCATTGGACCCACTTAGTTTTTCTTTCTGTGGTGTTTCGACTGGGCTTCTCCCAATTGTATGTACACAGACTTTATTGTGCCTTTAGGCTTAATTCATACAATAATTCACCGAGGGAAGTTGAAATTATCGTTTTGTCCTCTCCTCTTATAATATCTTCTGATTAATTTCGTTGCGGGATCCAAGACAGTAGTTCATGTCCCTGGGACGCGCTGAACTTCAGTGGTTCGGTGTTTTCATAGTTTTATCTACGGTAGATTCTGGCATTCCCGGCTTACAGCGGGTTTGGGAGGCTGTGTCCCATAAAAAAAGAAAGCTCATAGGAGTCATAGATAGGCGTGCTCCATCGTCGGGCACATCATCGCTTACCACCAGGCGAGATGTTGGCCAAACATCAACCTATCAAGAATAAAAAATGTAGGTGTGTTTAAATTGCGGTAAAGTCTGAAGATACATAAGTCACAGATAATGATGGGAATCTCTAATACATTACACTCTATAATAGCAGTTATTTTGACGTAAACATTGATTTTTTGTATTATATGGGTATTAACTCGTTGAGTACGTGATTACCGGTGACCGCTTGGTGTTTGACAGTTTAAACCACAATTTAATATGCTCAAAATATAAAAAATGCAATTTACAAATCACAAAAACTTTAACAGAATCTTATGACGGCTTTTGACATAGTAAGTAATTAATGTTATTGTTTAACAAAACGGGTGCACGTTATGTTAATTTACGTTCGTCAGCAGTTTAAAATAGGCTTTTGTAAGAACATTTTTTTAGTTAATTAGACAAAACTACAACTGCAATCAACACAACTTCAATCAACCGCGGATGACAATTAATCTACTGCTGTAATTAATTTTGTTTTCTCATTCCTCACGTAACTGTTTGACGAGGAACTCAACTAGTTTCAAGCCATATTAGAGGCTCATAATACATGAGCAGTAGCAGCGTGACAGTCACCGCGTCGCGTATCGCGGAATGCGAAACGCAGAAAGCCGAAAACATAATAATTAATTTAGTAACTATGTCTCACGAAAGTACTAATAGTGCTGTAATATAGCCTTTATGTATTCTATACAATAAATGAGTTTTGCCATAATTACACTTGGTAAAGATCGCATATAACAAAAGGTTCAGATTTAAATTCAAAAAGTGCTGCCACCCGGTCTCTGTAAATGTGTAGTCTACAATCGACTCTTACGACTTGGAAAGAAACACGAAGTGATGATAATGATGATGTGCCATCAACAGCCGGAAGACGTCCACTGCTTAACAAAGGCCTCCTCCTTACTCCTCCACGTTGAGGTGGTGCGGTGATACCTAATGTATTGTATGAACTCTATCATCAAATCAAATGTTTGACAATTTTGAGTAAAATCATTGTCTTTTGTCTTTTTTGCGATCTTTAGTATACTGTAAAATGGTCATAAACGTGCGTCATGCAAAAAATATTGCAACACAATATTATAATTGAAATAACACCGTTTTGTTCCATAGGAACAGATTAAGTTTTTTTAGTACAATTGTTTTTCTTAAAGTATTATATTTAGATTATTAATCAGTTATACAATACGTTTTACGAAGTTTTGATGAGCTCCATAAAAAAAGGAACTAAGGAAACCATAAAGACGTAATATGACTTAAACTGTCAAACACCAAGCGGTCACCGGTGACCGCAACCTATTGTTCTATAATTGTGTCTACAAAACCGGTACTCGACGAGTTAAATTACAATATCCATTGCAATAAAAAATAATTATACCTACATAGACAGTAATAGTTAATTTTAAACATAATAATTATTTACAGGTACTTTCTTTGAAGTACAAATGCTAACCACTTCGATTCTAATAAACAGTGTCACAGGTATATTTAGCAAGCGTTATATATTTTTTGAAGTCGATCGAATAGCCAAAAATATATTTTAGGTAACAGACTACTTTGTTCCTGGTATAGTGGGCGAATTTGATGGCAGAGGTGGTATTAGCAACGTTTAGGTAACTGGCGACTTACATTGAAGGTAAACCAGCTGAGAACACAGATACAGTAATTAGTAATTAGATGATAGACAGCTGACCGCTTGCTACTGACAGACAAGGCCACATTTAGCCTAGTTATTAGATAGTACCTTTACAAACTCTCGCTATTTGCATTACTTTCAAGTTCAAGGTTACCTGTTAGATTTTATGATTATGCAGAAATAAAATGTTATTGGACGATGATATTACTTCCTGTAAGCGGAGGCGTGGATAGATTACCTATATATCTAGATTTATTGATATTCCGACTTCAATAAATGTAGGTATACCTTTTACGTATTCGAAGATCTGAATGCGTTTTTTCTAGCAGATGATACCTTTTATAGGTTCTTTTTTAACAATAAATTCTCAATTTTTAACAATACTAGAATTATTTCTTGTGTCGTTGACGTGCGTTTACAAACACAAGTTAGAGATCACATCTAGACTCGGCACAACAACCAAAGGATATACAAGCTTACAATAAAGTTGAAAGCTTTTGCCAATACATTGATTTTGTATTCTTTTCATTTAGCTGATCATCAAATTTACCATCTTTGTCTCCAGGCCTTTATCCACGTATCAACAGCATACAGTAACGCAGAGCTGACAGTGGTGGAGGAGCGCGTGTACCCTGCACCAGTACCGCTGGCTCAGGCTTGCACCCTCGCCGAGACACTGCCGGTAGACCTGCTCGGACAGATCAATACACAGTCAGTATTCTTGTTAAAAAGTAAATTGCTTTTTCTCTTACATTATCATCAAATTCATCAGCTCGTTTTAATCACTATAGTTTACTCCTTGCAAATAATGCGCCGTTGTACTCAATCTTCAGTTCTTTGTTTCCAATACCCAGGCCATATCCCGGTCTTTTGTGGGCTAACGGACTGGACATCGCGATTGGTTTGTTGTCCCTAAATACCATCAGACCACATGGGTCAATGTCGAGTGTCCATTGTGTCTAGCTTTTAATTATCTGTTGCCAGGTACATTTCCCCGAAGCCCAACACGTACACATTCACGAAGGCACTGGCAGAGAACGTGGTGCAGGAACACGGGAACAGAGGATACCCAGTCGCCATATTCAGACCTACTATTGGTAAGTAATTCGTAAATATGTAACTAGTTAGTGAGAATATAATCGGCAGACCCACTCGCTCACCGATGATAGCGAAGAATCTTGGGTACGATTCTTGGGTCGAGATAACAGCTGGTGAAAAATGGGTGCTAATATGATAAGTACTTATGCAGCATTTAGCTTTTAGTGGCTAAAGGGCTGTATGTTACCTTACGTTACGTTCTCCTGTGCGGAGCTTTCTTGACCTAAATATAATTTCTGAAGTAACATCCTCACTCACAAAGGATAGCCACACTATTCATTTCAAAAGTACCATTTTTTTTTCTCTAAATCTAAACTTCAATTTTCTCAGTGATATCATCTCTCCGACACCCGTTTCCTGGTTGGATCGAGAATCTGAACGGTCCAAGCGGTGTAGTAGTGGCAGCCGGCAAGGGCCTGCTCCACGTGTTCTGCTGCAAGATGGCTGCCCGCGCTGACATGTTGCCAGTCGACATGGCAATAGACACGCTGCTTGCTGTCGCTTGGGAGACTGCTGTAGACCGGTTAGTAGAGATATTGATTTGATTTTTGCAAATAAAAATAGGTGAATGTTGTTGTTATGGTAAGTGATAATGGTCCAAGGTTTTTCGCAGAGATTAGGATATGTGAGCAGTGAAAGGCAATTATTTAGATCCTTATCATCTATCTCTTAGCTCACTTCATCCACTTTTGGACATAGTCCTTGCTAATAGCACGGTATCAAGCTGAATTTTTAACTGATGGTGTACAATCACTAATACACACACCTACGACATCGATCCTTATTACATGAGTCTAAATCAAATCTATACAAAAAAAAAATAACAAATATGAAATAATTTATAACACAAATATTTTATTCGAAGATTTAAAAGGACTTCCTCTCTATCAACTTCATCTAATTTGTGACGAGGTAATGTAAAAATATAGGTAAGTAGTTACACGAAATTTAGTCACAGACATCAGTTAGTTAACAATACAAATGAATGACTAACAGCAATTAAAATAAAAGTTAATAGCCAGAAAGACATTTCGTTTGGGCAGGAAATTACAATCACACCATTTTCGGCAACCACGACTCTGTAGGTACACTTTACACTATGCTTTGTTTTATTGCGAACAGTTTATGAAGAGTTGAAGGCTACAATAACAATAATAATTAAAAACACCGGAACATTAAATACTCTAATAAAATATTAATAACAATAATTATGGAGCGGGCGTCGCTCTGCGCCTGCGCGAACAATGTCACTTCTTGTCTGCGTTTGTAGTTCCGTGACATCTTTCCGCGAGTGAATCATGGCGGGAAAATTTTGTTTTTTTTTTATATTTCATATATTTTTTATTGTTTATCGGTCTAGTCGTAGACCAATACAACTATTTGACCATAGGTCTAGCAAATCGTAACTCTTAGGTAATCTGAACCACAGTAGGGACTAACCACGGACTAACTGATTTCTATTTCTTATAAATTGACACATATTTGACAGTTTTTAGTATGGAAGAATTGTCAAATATTTTAAGATACCTATTCCTCTGCTAAAATTAATCTGGCGTTGGAGAAATCGGCCCTTAGTAAGACCATATTTATTAACCGAACAAGACGTCGATGCCGAAAAGGTATCTCGATGGCAAAATACATCACAGACGATTATTTTTAAAGAAAGTATCATCTGATTTATTTATTTTTATTTTATTTATTTATTTATTTACTTACTTACATTTACCATTACAAGATGACCCAATGCGATAAATGCGAACTATTTAATCCTGACTTATTGCTTATAACTAATTACAAACAAAGCATTCCTTGTGAATTCACTCAGAGAACAGTAGATGATGTTATATGGGTAGTCGTCAGGTCATCCCGGACACCAGATAAGTCCACCGGTAACACCAGAGAAGTCATAAATACGTTGCGTGTATTTTAAAAATGTGTTTGCTTTACTCTTGAAACTTTGAAGGCCGTATCGGTTTTAATTGCTAAGATGACTAATAATATTAAGTCATAAATAAATCAAATTCAATAGCTGCTTATTGCCTAACCAGGTTAGCCTGGCATTTGGCACAGGCTTCTTTCCGAATTCGGCTGAAATAGGAAGCATATTCCTACTTATAAGGTATATTGAAATAGTGCAGCTAGATGCAGCATCTACTTCGGTGCATGGACGTTGAAAAAAGGCGGCCATAATGTCACTTAAAAATGATTGAAGCATTTATTTAAGTGTACTGTTATAGCCTGGCGACGTCCGTTAAACCTAAATAAAACATTAGAAGTGCGCACCCGCACTACCCGGTACTGTCCATGATATTAGATATAGAGATACGGCATTTCCAGATACTAACTCATTAATTAAGGTAACCAACCGTCGCCAGGTCCCATAGGATAGGGCAAGTATTACTGGATTTTTTTTAAAGAAACCCAGTACCTATAACCGGGAATCGAATCGAACCCGAGACCCCTTGCCTAGCAGTTGCACTTGCGACCACTCGGCCAATGAGGCAGAGAGTAATAACGCGATAAGAGGCCAATAATGCGAAACTAGTAGAGCTTCTGTCAGCATACTAGCTTCTGCCCGCGACTTCGTACGCGCAATCCCGTTTTCTCCGGTTCCCGTAGGATTTTCAGGATTTTTTTTGTCATAAGAACCTGCTCCTGACAATAACAAACACAACAAAAAGAAAAATCAACCAAATCGGTCCAGCCGTTCTCAAGTTATGGCGTGACAACGGGAAACGGGTTTCATTTTTATATATATATATCACGTGACTCGTAATTTTTAGTTGACGTGTATTGCTATGTCCAGGCCAGAAGCAGTGCGCGTGTACAACTGCAGCACATGTGAGAACCCGACGACATGGCGGGACTTCGAGACGGCGCTGCGCCACCGACTACGAGTAAACCCGCTCGACAACGCATTCTGGTACCCCAGCGGGTTCACTGTCGAGAACAAGTGAGTGCAAATTCATCACAAATTTTTATATGATACGTGAAATTAACGAGCAACTGATCACCTGATGGTAAGCAATCTGAGCGTACTCTTGAATCCAATTCCGATCGATTGACATTGGTATTGTGAAATTTCGTACTCTCGAGTTGTAACACTGGTGCTCATTGCATCCGTATCGCGTGGATTAGTATCGTATTATCGTAATGAGGCTTTATATTCCGTACTCCGAATGCTATTTCAACAGCTACGATAGTTGCTACGGGTTGATTAGTGTTGACATTGAATAATTATTGTATTGGATTGAAATTGCATTGACATTGAGATTGGTTTCAAGAGTAAGCACCCTAGGCCGACTGTGAACACCCTGTGGATTAGAGAAATTTTAAGTTACCTACAAGTTCGTTTGGTTGACGTGTTCCTTTTAGGAAAAGCCTTATATTTGCTGGAGTTGGGGCTTGGGAAAAGGGGCCTCCCGTAAACTTTTACATATCGTCCACAACATTTATATTATATGACTAACTACTTGTGCGCGGTCTCATCTGCCCTGCTCGGCGCCTATTGATTGTAGCGTGATGTTTTATAGCCTTTCTCGATAAATGGACTATAACACAAAAATATTTTTTATATCGGACCTTTCGTACCTGAGATTAACACCATCACACAAACAACAAACTCTTAAGCAATAGTTTATGGACTACTAGCGACCCGCCCCGGCTTCGCACGGGTGCAATATGTATATACATACAAACCTTCCTTAAGAATCACTCTATCTATTAAAAAAAAACCGCATCAAAATCCGTTGCGTAGTTTTAAAGATCTAAGCATACATACGGACATACAGCGAAAGCGACTTTGTTTTATACTATGTATTGATAAAATTAAGATATTAAGGTTAACGCATTCATTGAACTATGCTGTTACTACAGTGTCCTTTTAGTAAATTCATAAATTAATGGTTTGTGCCTTTCATCACTAAGAAAGTCATCACATTTTTATACTCACATTTTTTACATACTAAAATAAATATTCTTGTTACAGGCTTACACAGAAAACGTTGGAGACTATATTGCAAACAGCCCCGCTACATATCGCTGAATACATCTCAAAGATTCTAGGAATAAAAACTAGGTGAGTGCATTTGTTAGCAATTTTGCATTGAAAGAAACGAAAACACTAGATGTTGTCACAGCAAAGATTTTTTACCAAAATGGTAGATTTTACGGGAACTGTTCACATTTACAGATTGGCAAAAAAAGTAAGTATTGTATCTATATCATGTTCTAAACAAGAAACATGTCTTTCTGGACACAATCGTCCCCAATGGGTTGGCTCTTGAACTTGTTCAGGAAGACATCTTCAAAGAAAGAGTCTCGTAGAAGGTTACTGCCTAGCTGAGCAGCGTATAGGAAACTCAATCACGTCTTTTCGTCACAGCTACCGCAAAACCTGAAGTAGGTAATGACATACGAACCCAGAGAGGTGGACATTGACAGGGCGATTGGTCCCCCAATTTAGAGAGAGACGCTCAGAGTCCCTCTGAAGGGTTCAATTCAAAACCAAGTGATCCGACAGACAACCAAAGTTCACTAACTTTGGTTGTCTGTCGGATCACTGGCGGTCTTGTCGGCCGTGTGTGAAATGTGGACGGCCAGTGGGCCGTCCACATTTATCGAAGGACCGATAACCATTATGGTAAACGTGTTCTAAAGTGACAAACTGGTACACTCTGTGTCAACCGGTTTTGATATTTGTTCAAAAGAGAAGGTCCTATATTCCCGAAGTGGGTGATACAGTCCAAGTTAATAATTTAATATTAGCTTCAGATGTCAAGCTGTGAATAGTTTTAATATTTTCATTAGATTTTGAGAATTATAATTATAAATAAATAATTATAAATTAATAATGTACGTATTTTCAGGTTGAGCCTCATAACAGTGAGTCAACGTCTCATTGCTATGAATGAGGTGTTAAGATTCTTCTCGGTACGTGAGTGGCACTTTGTGACTGACAACGTGCGTAAACTACACGCCAGACTAACGCCGCAAGATGCTGCTATCTACAATCTGGACCCGCAGACTATTAAGTAAGTCAAATTAATTCAGAATATTAAGCAAAATAAGTACATATGTAGTTCAAAAACAAATATCTAACAAGTAAAGAGTGTTAAAGAACTAAAATAAGACTAAAATATAATTTACTGTTACAGCTGGAATGAACATTACTGCAATTTCATAATAGGAGCAAGAAAATATTTGTTACAAGAGAAAGATCAAGACATTAACGAGGCAAAGAAACATTTGCGCAGGTAAGCCATGCGACATAATGATACGTCAATAGCTGGTGACCATTTTGGTGGAGAATTGGTGCTTTTTCAGAGATCTGACAGAGCACTAATGTCCTGTTTCTGTTAAAAGTGTAATCCCTTCGTCGACTCCTACGACATTTTAGTGTAAACATACTGACTGAACACTTTAATGTAAACAATACACCTATTACATTAATGCAAAATCAAATGAAGTCAATTTATTGTTAGATTTTGAAAAATTTTGCCACTGCACAGTATATATTTAATTTCTCTCCAAGATTTGTTTTGATTGAGCACTAAATATTGTAATGACGTGGGTTCAAGTAACTGGGTAATGAAAGATTAAACTGCGGCAATAGGTAGGTACATATAAATTTATTCAACACTGACAAATACTAAACTAAATTAAATCACTGGAAATCACTTAAAAAAAATAACGGAAAGACATAAAACCTAAATAAATAAAACAGTAAAATCAGAATACAGAAATAAACAGGATATAACAAAAGTTTTCTAAGGCTTGGGCTCGAACCCGAGTTCAACCGTGTCGACGTATACGATGCTACACCCCGAGACCAACCGGTTACTTGAGAATAGTGGTGAATATGTTGATCTGTAAGCGTCGAGATCAACTGGCGTAACAGAAGCTGAATCACAGTTCTAAATGTTTCTCCCAAATAATTAAGGGCGTATCCGCAAGCTGAAGACAAGGTAAAAACAATCAGCCTTGCAAAATATTGCTGATGATCCAGTGTACACTTCCGTAAAGTAAACGCAAACACTTACCCCGTTACTGCAACCACACTCACTTGTCACTGGCAATAATACTTATATATTTACTATTCATTACACATTTCTGAACAATTATGGCTTTGAATTACAGCAATTATGTAAATTGAATGAGGAGCCCATTAGCTGTCTCCTTTCTTTATATAATCCTCATCTGTCAGATTTATTTTTTTATTTTCTTTTACTGCCACCCTCACTTGACCATGATAAATACATGATTTATATTAATGTGGCTAGCCTTGTAACGCCATCTATTAATGCACTTAAGAACCAAATATCGATCATTACAATATCAATGTGGAAATAACTAAATATTCATTAAAAATATTCCAGGATGTACTACTTGCACCATGGCGTCATGTTCTTCGTTGTAACACTGCTCTGCCGCCTGGCACTGCGCAACCAGTACTTGCGCGCTTTCATCTACCGTACCTTCAGAATGCTACTGACTGTCGCCGGCTCAGCTTACATGCGTATACGACAGAGCTGAGAATTGACAATACTTTATCTTATTTAGAGACTTATAAATCAACATATATGCGTAGTGTAATGAATATTACGTCCATACGTTTTGTAGTAATGTATTACAATAAGAATGGAATGATAAAAGTGTAAATTAGTTAAGATTTGATACTAGTGAATTGTAAATGTGATGAAATCGTAGATTAGGACACGTAATTTTTAAGCATCAGTGAATTTATAGTAGTTTCTATACGTAACAAGCTTTGCTCAATCGATGATATTAATATTTAGGGTTGTGTAGCGAATGGATGCAGTATATTTTTGTAATTAATTGTATTAAAGTTAGTATGACGTGTTATGATGTAGATTATAGAGCATACCTATATACATTTTATGGGCCTTAGTTGTTACCAGAATGATTGACATAGCTAACGTTTATATTCAAGCTACGCATAAATACGAACAATAATGGTTCTATTAAATTTAAGTAATTTAATAAAACATTCTAATTCTGCTTCAATGTTTGTTATAATTAATGAAAATGTTTAGTACATATTTTTCAAATCTTTGATATCTTAGGTTACATATTTACGGGTATCGGTGTCATAATGAAGTCAAATATAATATATTTTCAATTATTATTTTTAAGTAATTTTTATAAAAATAATTGTATTTACAATAAAATATTATGTTTTTTGTATGATGTTGTAGTGATTTAACTTCCTCTGACCTCTGATTATAAACTATACCAGCGAAGTGATAAGTGAATGAATAAGAACTAAAGTCTGATATAACAAATACCGCCAATGAACCACGCGGTGGTCACCCCAACGTCAAGATTTCTCTTGTTAGTCGTTATAGTCAGTACACATAGATTCCATACAGAAATTCACATGTCTAAGGGTGAATTATTGCTAAGCGCAGCGCAACAGATCCATTCGTTCGTTAGAAAGACGACCTAATAAAATTTGCAAGAAGCTGCTGAATGTAGGTTGCTTCTGTCGGCAGATATGGAAGTAAAAATGTTTCATTTTTTGTTACTGAACTCATTTTTGTTGTAGTCACTGTCAGTCGAGCATACATGAAAAGATTGGTGACTATATGTAGGAGTCGTAGTAATTGGCGTTCCATAGTCTCTGCCTACACCCCAGGGAGATAGGCGTGAATTTATGTATGTATTTCACTGTCAGTAACAATATCGGTAGCTTTATTTTTTATTAGATAGCAACACAATTGAACTATTGTCAACAAAATGTCAAAAAGTTTGTCAAAAAAGTTGCTGTCAATGTCAAAGTCATAATCTTATCAATCGTAAAAATTATGTGATTTAGTTTCGTGACGATGGAATTCCGACGTGAAAAACAATAAAAATGTTTAATAAAGTGTTGCAACGTGCTCTTAAGTTTCGGCTGAAGAAGTCTTATCCCACGAATATTTATGATTTATCTCGTGGGTCGGCTATAGCGGTGCGTAGACCGTATAGCGACGAAGTGCGTCGTGCGCAGGCCCAGAGCGTCGCTGCGCCGGGGCCGACAATCTTCGACAAGATTATATCGAAGGAGATTAAAGCGGATATTATTTATGAAGATGACTTGTGTTTGGCATTCAATGATATATCTCCGCAAGCTCCCGTGCACTTCCTCGTGATACCGAAACGTAGGATCCCGCGGCTACAGGATGCGGAGCCAAATGATATGGAAGTGAGTATAACCTCTGGCTGTTGGAGTAGATTCCTTTGGCAACAAATATGGTTCCATTCCAGTTCCATTCTATTTGAGTAACAGTGTAAATGGAGGTCAAGTCATCAGTTTTTATGCTTTGATTTTGAAAGGATTAGATTTTGCTCATCTTCCAAAATATTAGATTCTTCTGTTAACAGTAATCTATTCTCCACTGCTAGGTACTAAAATAAACATTAAGAAACCTTTTGAAGAACTCTTTGCTTTTGTAAAATCTTAGCCTCATCTGCTGACCGAACAAACATTAAATTAGGTAAGTTTTAAAATACACTTCTGTTGCGTTTTTACATGCAACAATAGAAGGATCTATTTTTATTGTTCAATGCCCAAGCCGTCACCGGTGGCCTCTTTCCACTAACTCCATTATAGACCTTATTTTCGATTCTTAGAAGCTACTTTTGTATGAACAAATGTTCAGTATGACATTTCAATGTATTAATGTAGATTCCATAATGTTAAAATCTTCTAAAATTAAAATTTCACACAATGTAGTCATCAGTAGGTACTCAGACAATGTCAACAAAATTTATATTCAAGGCTACCACTAAGTAGACAATTAGAAAAACAACATAATCTGACAAGAGGACTTAATTAATCAAGTTCTAATATACTGTGAGAACAAGCACACCAGTAGGTAGTTATTAAACTGCCCGTGACAATCCAATGCTGGACTATGGACATTCCTCCACAAAAGAGGGCTTCACCATAATCTCCACACTTAGCAAACAGGTTGAAGATTTCAGTTTAATGAAATCAGGTTTATCAATGAACTGTACTCCTTAACTCGTTGAGTACTATCATTATAGACACAATTAAAGTTCAATAGGTTGCGGTCACCGGTGACCTCGCGGTTTTTGACAGTTTAATCAACAATAGTTTATTTAACTCGTCGAGAACCGTCATTATAGACACAATTATTGAACAATAGGTTGTGGTCACCGGTGACCGCTTGGTGTTTGACAGTTTAATCTCCAAACTTGGGAAACTAATTGGAGATTTCAGTTCAAAAGGGTAAATTTTATCAGAGAAGCACCTGCCCGGTCTCTGATGTAGTCCCTTTGTCTACCCTGATAATACTCGCTACAAGAGTAGGGGTGCTTCAAATATATTGGATTCTGGAACTAAAATTATACTTACAATGACAATAATACACAAACACTAAACGGTGCCTTTAGCCAAACGCCGCTTTAGCGTTTGTCTGTAGAGAGAGTAGAAAACTAAATGTATGGGAATGACACTAACAAGTGACAAAATTTATGTCAATTCCATATAATTTGGTTTCTATTCTACATGTAGACAAGCTCTAAGTGGCATTTGGCTACAGCTGCTGGGTAGAGGTATATTAAAGACATTGTGTTTATAAAATACTTTTAATGTTTAGCTCAATATTAACTCGTCGAGTACCGTCATTATAGACACAATTATAGAACAATAGGTTGCGGTCACCGGTGACCGCTTGGTGTTTGACAGTTTAAACTGTCAAACACCGCGAGGACACCGGTGACCGCAACCTATTGTTCTATAATTGTGTCTACAAAACCGGTACTCGACGAGTTAAAACAATTGTTTTGCAAAGTTTCTGTCTACTATCAAAGGGTAATGACTCGATGACATCATCGCTTTAAAAACCAATACTTTTTTTTTAAAGAATTCAATGTAAAACAATGTTTGTATAATGATATCATACATTGTGCTGATTCAAAATATTGGCTCATATAAAATGGACAGGAAAATTTTATCAAATGAATTACCTATTAAGATTTTGTCAGATTCTATCCTTATGACGTGCTGACTGCGTGCCAAGGGTTCAGAATATTTCTTTGTGTGATTTGTAAATAGTTGCGGGTGTCTAAGGTCGACCGACTGCTTGATCCTCTGGTGATCCTCTCACGCGCAGATCGGCTATTGATCGTACCGTGATGTTTTTTATAACGACTGAATATAAATGAACTATCCAACACAAGAGTTATTTAATTCGAACTAAAGGTTCCGGAGATATCTCCTTTAAAAAAACAACTTTTCAGCATTACAATATTAGTAGAGACTTTTGTAGTTATTATGTTATCTTACTTCTTACTAATATTATAAAAATGTGCATGTTTGTATGTTTTTTACTCCTTCACTTCAAAACGGCTGAAGGGGTCGGGATAAAATTTGAAACATGGGTTGATTATGCTCTGGAATAACACATAGGCTAACTACTTTTTAGCCAATGAACCACGGACGAAGCGGCGGGCAGACGCTAGTGTTAAATATTATTATGAAATTGGAAATTATATTTCTGCAAGTAAATTACGTATGTCGTCGTTACGTCGGCTGTGAGTGTGTCACGTCTTGCGGAATTCCTCAGTTATCAGCGGTAGGTAGGTACCGGGCGCGGGCAGTGCGCCGCTATCAGTGCAAGCCACGCTCGTTACTCACGCACTCACTACAATTACGCTGAATATTTGACACGGCCCCGAGTGAGGAAGAAAGTAATAATTAAAGAAATTGAATGTATTTAACAGAGCACAATGGTATACAACAATAAACCTACAAACATAAACACTTGCGTTTAAAAAACCAACTTCATAAAATCAAATAATGAAAACAAAAAGAAGTAAAAATATGAAAAGCAAAAAATGACTATTAGTTAGTACTGATAGGGTACCCACCCACTGATAGGTTAGAAGTCGGTGGGCGGTCAGCATAGTTTATATAAAACTACCTAAAGATTGTCTGAATTTGTTCCGTGTGAGAATCGAACCTGTGATACCCGTGTCAACTGCTCCTGCCCTGGGCGAGGCGGAGTGTCAGACTCTTACGACTAAACACTACCCAGTTCCTACTCCTGCATAGAGCTGGAGCCGCGGTAACCTGGTTAGGTTGGCCACAACTTCGGATGCCGTGAAGTTAATTGTTGCATTTTTGAGTACTTAATTGAACATGGTGTCTGTAATCGCGTCAGATATAATTATGACAATTGACTTACCCCCTGTTATATGGGACTCACCCCTTTGAGCATTGGAAAGGTGTTACATTCCATTATGTAGCATTAATAACATTGTAACAAAACCCCAGTACATACACACATGCAGACTATCATTATCAGTTATCAGCGAATTCCAGCGAGGTGTGTACACGCCTGATAACGTAGCTCGTTGCTGTATAATTATGTCTCAATAACATCGGGCTTCAACTCTATCATTCGGCAATAAAGGTGGCATTGTATAGAATTTAGATTGTATATAATTTAGGGTACCTATATTGTCCATGTGGAGATGGTAGGGATTTTGACTGCATTTGTGTACTTTTTTTAAGGGGGGAAAATCATCGACTGACTGCTCCCGCCTGGGTGAGGCGGGAGGGAGTGTCAGACTCTTACTGACTAAAAACCACCCCGTTCCTTCTCCTGCACGTCGAGCCGGAGCCCCGGTAACCCGTTAGGTTCTCCGCGACGGCAATTGTGTACTTGACAACTAGTCTAATTCAACACGTTTTTCGAACTGTCAAAAACGACAGTTTTTTTCACGTTTTTTTTTAACGTCAAACAACGTACTTATTTCTTAAAGATTCTAAAATTAAGTTGATCATAAAATCAATTAATGAAAGTGTGATAATTTTTTAATTGTATATTGAATTGAACAGTCGAAATAATTTATTTTTGATTAAGGAGAGTACCAAATTCCATACAATTTATGTCAAGAATTTATCTTAGTCTTAAAATTATGGATTGTAGTCGGTTACTGATCGGCTGTAAGGGATTACACATTAACCAATAGACCAGACAGCTGCATTCATTTATAACTGCATTCTTGCACTCTCCAACCCTCGTGCCAAGCACTGAGGTAAATGGCAAACCCTCTTAAGTTGAAGAGGTCCATAGACCATGGTCTCTTTATGTGATCTACAAATTGTTGTTCCGGGTCTATGTGTAGGTGAACTTGTATGTTTGTAAACACACACGACGCAGGAGAAAATCCTAGTGTGGGGCAAAGGTTTTATAAAAAAAAAAGAAAAATAAGGTGTACCAGTGGACCCACTGTTGATTCTCTTATAAGTTAATCCACAAGTATTAAACCGATACGAGCTTTCAATATTAAAAAAATAGCGTAATTTCCTTTTTTAATTGGCCGGCCTTTTAACGCAGTAACTCTTCTAGTGTTGCGAGTATCCATAGGTATCGCAGATTGCTCACCATCAGGTGACCCGTCTACTCGTTTACTCCATAAAAACCTCTATTGAATCACTCTATCTTTTGAAAAAAAAACCGCATCAAAATCCGTTGCGTAGTTTTAAAGATCTAAGCATACATAGGGACAGACAGCGGGAAACGACTTTTTTTATACTATGTTGTGATTAACGATCAATTTCTCAATTCCAGCTCCTCGGTCACCTAATGCTGGTGGCTCGTTCGCTGGGCTCGGCGCGGGCTCCGTCGGGGTGGCGGCTCATTGTCAACAACGGACGGGACGGCGCGCAGTCTGTCTACCATCTACACCTCCATGTACTTGGGGGCCGGCAGATGGGCTGGCCGCCAGGGTAGGGAGCTTGGGGGTCGCCAGGGTAGGGAGGTTGGTAATGCAATGTTGTTTTTAGTATGTGTAATTTTGAATTCGCTATTTTCTACGGAGTTTTTGAAAATCCGGCTAGTGTAGTAGTATCGTTGTTTGTAATTAGAAGATAAAAAATCTAGACAATTTGGACAGATAAATCAATTTACAAAATTAAATCGTTTTTGACTTACTTATTATTTTCAAATAATAAAATTATTCTTCAATAAGGAATTTTGTTTGCTATAAACATGTGTTTACAATCAATGAAGTTAGTAAAATATTACTTTACAAACGATTTTTTTTGTCAAATGGAATATTAAAAACAATGTTGTATTTAGTCACGCATGGTATTCGTTATAATATACCTTAGTGCCTGTGAGATAGAGTTGAAATTCCAGTGTCAACGTTCGTCTCGATATTATTACTTCTGTTGGTTCATTGGTTGGAATTTAAACTTTATATTCACAGATTTAAGGTAATTTTTTTGCAATTTGAAAAAAGTTCAATTCGTAATGATAAAGCAATAATAATAAAAATGTATTCGGTTATTTATCATTTATAAATGACCTTATGCATATGGATATAAGGTAGCTTTTTAAATGTATTGAATGTATTCCAGTAATTACTCTTTGTTCTGAGCAAAAAGATAATTTACTGTATAATTTATATTCTATATCAAAGAGGGTTTTACTTTCTGCAGTCACTAGGTGGCGCTCCTATCTTATTAGAGGCACTATTATCTATCAAAACCCTTTGCTCTGATTGGTGAGTATCTCAACCAATCACAGTTCACATAATAAGGTAGCAGATACTGTGTGTGACCTATCTAGACTAAGACATACTTAGTCTAGTTTTAGGTAGAGTTCTGTCTACCCTTTTCAGATATTTATAAATGTCGCGAAGATATTATTTTAGTGCCTTATTCATCCAGACTGTATATCAGTACGATGGTCGCGGCTTTCGATTCCCAAGCCAGGCAAATGATGTTTTTTTCTATAGTTAATTGCAGTCTGGAATTATGCCCGGTGTAGGCAAAATGTGTAAATTTCTGCTTATCCTAATAAGGAATGAAAAGCGTTATGTTTATGTCTTTAACTGGCATTATATTTGGACGTCTAAGTCCAATAAACGTAAATATAACATAAGTGTAAGTTATGTATATTGCCACCCATCATCTTCCAATCCTCGTGGTGTGTTGCTTAACCTAAGATTGTCGCTAAATCGTGTCATAATGAAGCCATTGTTATCGTTATATGTTATTAGTGCAATATTCACTTGCCAAATTAGTTTGTAAGTATTATAATTTATGTCTGCGCGCACACGACGCAAGATGGCGTTAATGTAAATTTTTAATCCAATTTGTAAATTTTATGAAGTATGTTTTGTTTGATCCAATTGTTTTAATGATATTCCAGTAAAGAAGTTTTCGGTTTTGAGCTCAGCAGATGGCGCGGGTGTATCGTGAGGTCTGTTTGTTCAATCAAACTGAGACTAGCTTATGTTTTGGATAAATAGGACCACACGAGGCTCTAGCGCCACCTGGTGAGTTATTGTATAATGTATCCCAATGGTTATAAGTATAATGTATATAAAATTCACTAAAAAAATTAAAATGTTAATGAATTATTTCAATTGTTGTTGCTTGAAACCAGATATTCAATATTTAGCACATCAAATCACCTGTTTGTTTGACACATTTTCAACTTGAACGCTTTGTAATATAGTTGACAATGCATTACAGAAACGGGTAATTTGAAGTGCTGTCATCAGGTCGTGTGTCGCAGCGCACAGTCTCAAAGAAGCGACGCCACAGTTTGATACCTTCTGCGTGAGCCGACAGGGGGCGGTACTGTGCTCAATAAAAACAACGCGATTTTGAGCTGGCAATACCGAGTTAGTCATTTTTCTTGTTAAAATTCGTCCCAAAGTTAGTATATTCTAGTAGTTTTATCGATTTAGACTGATACATTTAGCTGTATAAGTAGTATTTTCCAGTTCCGTCTACTTAGTAACGTATTTTAGGTTTAAATTATTATTTTCACTTAGAGCAGTTTTCCCTAAAAACGGAGGCAATATCGCTCCCCTGTCAGTTGGAAATTACGCTCAGATCAATATTCGCATAAAATATAAAAATAGTTATTCATACACTACTTTCTTCTCTATACAACCGATCCTTATTTTTCTTATAGTCATAGTTGTCATTTCTGACAGCTGTCGCTAATGTCAATGTAGTAGTTTAATTGAATTTGTTGAATTAGTAAATAAATAAATACCTCAATAATAATAATTGAATGATCTGAGTAATTCACGAATCTCGTTTTGAGTTGTATTTTGTTAGTTGCAGTGAACATTTGGTTGTTTCTAGTCAGAACGGTGGTTTCCAACCGCCGCGTGTCTCAAACTGTGGTAGTACGGGGGCGGGAGTTTAACATCGCAACCAGTTTAGCTATTTTGTAAAGAAAGCTATTGTTATTAGAGTATTTTTTGCAGGGATTAAACTATTCAATTTGAAGTGATTGTTTATACTCTTCGTAGATGGCGCCACAGTCGAAAAAGGTCATTCTAAATAGCTACTATCAAATGTATATTAGTAAAATCAACCTTATTCTGCAATGGCGTCATTACAAACGATTATGAACAATATCCCTGCTTGTCTAAGAGCTAGAATGGTGTGATGTGTCCTCGCCAGACGACGTAGTCAGTCGCTCAGTACATATCTTAGATTTAGTTGTTTTATTTTTGTTTCATTTTTACTTTAATGACTCCCCCGACTGTATTCTTCATCTCTGTCTCGTCTTATTATATAATTTTGTGTGTGTTAGACAGAGATGGCAATATAATTTTTGTTTACTGTATTGTGACGTCACAACACAGTTCAGTTTGAGTACAAATGTAGTGTAAGTAGTCGGTTGTAAGCCCTGTGTCATAGTCAACACCAAATATTGTAGTGTAAGCGGTGTGACGTCATGATATATTATGTATCAATGTATGATCTACAAACTTGGGCTGATGACAGGGTAGGGAAATTTATTATATATTTGATCTATCGGCCAAGAGTAGAGATTATAGTCAATCTCTTTTTTGGACAAGTTCGTGGTCCAGCAGTGGACTTACGGGCTGAAGTTGTTGTCGATTGTGATTTTGGCCGGTAAAAAAAGAAAAATTAGTTGTCGTATATTTTCTTTTACACTGTGTAATGGGTTAAAGATTTTAGTTTAATTTTCAGATCCTATCATCATTCCCACTAATAGAAAATTCTTCTATTATATACTTTTATCTACACCTAGTACACATCAAGCTATGCAAAACCAGTAAATTTTTATGAATAAATAAGTAAATACTTAAATCCTGTATAAACTAATCTTCGAATGTTCGGAGAGATCATACAAAGGTAGACCACGATACACTGGTATCGTATAGATCGAAGTGTGGCCGTGTCTATGTAGTAGTAGTAATCTTGTATAGTCGGGGGTACATATATTACGTATTTTTCTTTATTATTTCGTTGTATGTTGGTTGTGGGTGCGCGCGGCGTCAGTTCCGCCATTTTGTTTATCAAAAAGCGCGCGAACACGCGCCGCCCGCTCAGTACTGTTTAGAATTTAATTCAATGTTTAAATTCTTTAACCAAAGTTTATTAAATGATTTTATAATGATTATGCTGTGTGTTTCACTTGATTATTACTGTTATACTATTATTGTGAAATATTTCATGATAAATAATGAAATGTTGTCCGATTGATACCTACACTGTGTCCTCGATACGTACACAATCAGTTTTAAAAACATTTACTGTCA